CTAATTTCACGTGACTTGAAAAGTTGTCCAATCTTGTGTTACTTGCCTCCATCATGTCTCCTTCTGTTCTTGCACACAAAATAGGTACGTTGATGGGACTTTATGTCCGGCTCTCATTGTTATCTTGCACCAGGATCTCTTCTCTTCTGTCCGACATGTGGGACACTTCTTGCACTACCGAAGGATGATGAAAATACCGTTACTTGCGAGCAGTGCGGGCACGTTGAACCTGCTGCTTGTGCATACTTCCTCACTTTCAGACGACTTTTGATTTATTCAACTTGTTCGCGTACAGCATACGAAAACACCGAAATCACGACTCGTTCCCACCCCGATGCCTTTCCTAGTGCATTACAGCAAAAACGCAAGACGCAGACAAAACGTCACGAAAAGGGTGACCAGGGAACTCTTGTACGTGACGGCACCGGTGCTTCATGTCCATCGACACTGATGCTCGTATAGGTCTCGGAAAAGTGTCCTGCATGCGGACATCTCTCGGCATATTCCAAAGAAATGCAGGTGCGGTTGAACAATTCACTCTCACAATATACCACTGACTTGCCTATAGCTACGGAGTGCAGACGAAGGCTCGACCATCTTCTATACGGTATGTTTCCCTGCTTTTGTCTGCTTCTGATCTTAGTCTTTCCAGTGCGTGAGCTGCAAACACGGTTGGCGCGTCAACAACTAGTGCTTGGTATTCGCATTTTGGGTATTTTGTCTACACATACACACCGACGGAGCAGAAGAGGGCAACGACGCCAAAGCCGGCGAGGACGCTGGCGATCGAGGCGACGGCTGTCTCACGGGCGGGAATGGTGTCCTTGGGGAGTCTGTAGATGGGTTGGTTGTGGGTTCCACTGTCCATGTGAATAAACATACGTGGAGAAATAGAATGCCAGACCAAAGGTGGAGGCAAGTAGGATCGCTGCAATGTATGGGAGGAGTGCCACGGGGATTGTGGGCGAAAACGGGGGCAGTGAGGCGTGGAGTGCCTGCTGTCTGTCAGTAAACGCGGCCAGCGTGGTCAATGGAGGCGCGCCTTTGTAGTGTGGTACGCCGAAGACATGATGGTTGCGTGTAAGGGCGACACGTGATGTGTGGCCACCTCTGGCACGTGTTTAAGGGGATAAGGCAACGGAATTTTGATTGTGCACGCAGCTCTTACGACCACCATGTCTGCCGCGCAAAAGATCCAGCAACACCCTGTTGTCATCCAGGCCCAGAAGAAGGCCGCCGTCTATCTCGACCAGCTCGACAAAGAGGTTTGTCTTGTGTCGTGCAAGGCCGCCAATGCTGACGCCGTCGCAGCTCACAAAGTACCCCGTGCTTAATCACATTGAGCAGCGTACTCAGGTCCCAAAGACCTACGCTGTCCTTGGCGTCATCTCTTTCCTCGCCCTCCTCCACCTCGTCAACTCTCTCGCCGCAGTTGTCTCGAATCTCGTCGGCTGGGCCCTTCCTGCTTATCTCTCTTTCAAGGCAATCGAGTCGCCCTCGCCTCACGACGACGTCCAGTGGCTCACATACTGGGTCGTCTTTGGCTTCTTCAATTTCCTCGAAAGTTTCGCTTCCTCCCTCGTCCTCTACTACATCCCCTGGTATTACACTCTTAAAACTCTTTTCATCATTTGGCTCCAGCTCCCTGCATTCCGTGTACGTGTATTCGTCTTCCCGTAAACCTTATCTGACTCTTTCTTCACAGGGCGCTCAAACGACATATCTCGTCGTTATCAAGCCCATCCTGGCCAATGTCTCCTCCCAGGCCCGTGCCTCACCTCCCACTACCGCAAGCGCTGTGCACGAGGAATAAATTCATCAAGGGTATTCATCTTAAAGGGCCTTCGTGTTGTAGTTTAACTCTACCCTACCTAGCTTCGTCCTTCTGTGCCTTGTTATCTCTGTTGCCCTAAGCTCTATAGACTCTTCATTTTACTCTTTCTTCCCTCCTTCTGTTTTCATGCCCATTCCATATTATCGTGTTATCGTATCAGATACGCACGTCCCACGTATTCTTACGACCTGCACACGACTTTGTGTGTTTCATTTTTCCATGTGTTTCCAATGACGTGGCTTTATCCATGACGTACTTCCTCCATCTTTTGTGACTAGGTGGTCATTTTGAGCATATTTCCATGCGCATTAATGGGGTAGTGGTAACCTGGGTCGTTGCCATTTTTGATGAGTGAATCGGACTCGAAATTCCTGAAGGTTAAGCCCACGTTAGAGCCCGATTTCCCTAATTCTCATTATTAGTCTTGTGTCTCACATTTATCACTACGAAAATTCATCTACATCTTCTTATTTCTTTCTTTCTATGTATTTGTAGTTACAGCCCGAAGCACTGGAAAATATACACGTGGATCGCTATTTTAGGCGACCATTGCGCTATCTTAGCTCTCCAACTTTAAGCTTCAGTTCCTGCTATCAGCAGCAGAGGCTTGCTCTCAATGAGATCAAATTATGATTGGTCCATCCAGTCCCCGGCGCCAAACACTTGGCGTTGATCACACAGTCTACATACACGTAAGTAAATGCCACCTCATTCGTTGTACTTGATCAACTTGGCATGTTTCAGCTCAACCTGATTGACCGCATACAAACCCTTGATCATCTCCGGGAATACACCATTGTTCACGACGTCGTAGTGAGCCTTGAACAATATCATTAGTGTGTAATAAAATACATCATTTCCACATACCTGGACACTGTCCCACCCCAAGAGCATGAAAAAAGTCCCCTTGTTCTCCCTGCTCTCACCCATTGTAGCACAATGACATGATCCATGTGCGTTTAGCTTGTCCTTCAGCTTGGTCATGATGTCCCTAGCTTCCTCATCAACACCTAGCTTGGGGACCAGGGTAACTATTTCTGTCACGGGCGCGTCCATTGCGAGCGCTGCATCCTCATCAAAATTAACGTGTTGTACGTCCAGGGGTCCGGCTTGGGCGCGTTTCAGCGAAGCGATCGCCGCCGGGTAGGATTCATGCTTCGTGAACTTCATATGATGATCATAGGTTTCCCATACTGCGACGGACGAAATTATGAGACGATGAATCATCATTCTATACAAGCAATCAACGACGTACTGACGAACAAGTATGCGCTGCGATTGTCTTCTGTCTGGATACCATAGTAAGTACTAATCAATAGTAGTCAGACGACAAGGTCGCTCCTAATCACTCAATCCAAACGAACCTGATGCAGCCTTCAGACTTGACGAGTTTACTCAGGCAATCTTTGAAGACGAGGTTATCCGCGACAAATTCATCAGATCCAGGGAACCGTACGATTTCGACTGTGGGCATAGTAGCAGGTCAAAACTCGAATGGTATGCCCTCCATAAGCATATTTAAAGAAAACCTATGATGTGATGAGTAACACTTTTGACTGCGAGATTAGGGGAGCAACTTTTGAAACCAGGAGCGATGATGATGGATTGGAATTTAACTGCCAGCAAGCTAGTTTGAAAACGGGGGTAGCCTCCGTATGTGCTAAACCAGTGAGTATAACTTTTATATAACGTGCGAGTTTCTGTGCCGCCTTTCCGTTCATCCCTTCTTGTACAAACCGTATTATTGTCTTTTCGCTCCGTGTTGGCTCGTGTATCCCCTTGTGCATGTTTCTCTTGGGCTCTGTCGCGTCGTTCCTTCTTCTCCCTCGGAACTAGCAATGTAATTCTGAGTAATCCTAACGGAGTTACCCTCATACGCATTAATGGGGTAGTGGTAACCTGGGTCGTTGCCATTGACAGTGTGTCGACCCGCCGGGGGTTCGATTCCCCCTTAATGCAATTATTTCCAGGAGCTCTACTTTTTGCTCTTGATTTTCTTGAAGTCAAATCAAGTATTCCTTCAATGAGACCAAGTCTTGACATGTATATATTATCACACTGTTATCTCCGTATGTATCGAACTACACTCATTCGGTGTACTTGATCAACTTGGCGTGTTTCAGTTCAACCTGATTTACCACATACAAACTCTTAATCATCTCCGGGAATACACCATCGTTCACGACGTCGTAGTGAGCCTTGAACAAACTCATTAGCTATTTGTGATATCCAAAGACATCACTTCCACACACCTGTACACTGTCCCATCCCAAGAGCATGAAAAAAGTCCCCTTGTTCTCCCTGCTCTCACCCAATGTAGCACAATAGCACGATCCGTGTGCGTTTAGCCTCTCCTTCAGCTTGGTCACGATGTCTCTAGCCTCCTCATCAACACCCGGCTTAGGGATCAGGGTCACGACTTCTGTCACGGGTGCGCCCATCGCGAGCGCTGCATCCTTATCGAAATCCGCGTGCTGTACGTCCAGGGGTCCGGCTTGGGCGCGTTTAAGCGAAGCGATCGCCGCCGCATACGATTCATGCTTCGTGAACTTCATATGGTGATCATAAGTTTCCCATACTACGACGGACAAAAATATGAGACGATGCTTTATCAATGTAGATTCGCAGTCAAAGACCTACTGACGAACAAGTATGCGCCGCGATTGTCCTCTGTCTGGATGCCATAGTAAGTACTAATCAATAGTAGTCAGACGATAAGGTCGCTCATCATTTTAATCGACTGACGAACCTGATGTGGCCTTCAGCATCGACGAGTTTACTCAGGCAATCTTTGATGACGAGGTTATCCGCGACGAACTCATCAGATCCAGGGAACCGTACGATCTCGACCGTGGGCATTGTAGCAGGGTCAACACTCGCGTGTTAAACTCTCCATGTATGTATTTAAAGAAGACCTGTGTTGTGCTGAGTAACACTTTGTCCTCGTGAGCAGGAATGATGGTCTCTCAAACTCTCACCAGATAAATAGCGGCGTAACCCTTTTCCGTGGGCGAGCCTGAGATCTGGATGCAACTCAGGTGACAGTCTTTTGAAGACTCAAATGACTTTATCCCATTGGATACATTCGAAATCTTGATAAGATACTCACTAATACTCATTGCTCACAAGTAAAAGAAGATCTCACGAGTTCGTAAAGTTACTAATCCCAAACCGGCCTTGATCGGAATTACCAGCACGTACTAACCAAAGAAACGCTGTCCATAACCTTCTGTCTCTGCCAGTCTCGGGATAGCTTTTCCAGTAAATTCCACATTTCTTCTGACGGAGCACGTTGCTCGAGATCTGCAATCTCTTGTCCTAACTTACCGCTTGATTACCTTTCGAGGGTGTCTAAAATACGGCTCTGCAGTACGTCTTCAACCGTTCAACTTTCTACGAATGCCCCGCTCGTTTCGAATCTTGTATACTCTCCTTATAAGGCAGCACTTTCGACATAATTTAGCGAATTTTGATAAGCTCTCGTTGCTACCTTCGAGTTGAATTACCGCCTTCTCAGAAGCCTGCCCAACACTCAGGGTTGCTGTGCTGCTGTCGCGATCACAAGACCGCGTACGCGACTGGGATCCTCGCTGTAAGATATCGAACGAATAGGCGTGACGTGTCAATGCATCCACTCTTGAGCGCATTCTAAAAACAGGCGAGACGCGTACGACTGATGTGCACTGAATGAAACAGTGAGGAGAGAGTTATATAACATTGAGTTGTTAGCTTCACAGGACACAGTAAAAGGGGGGAAAGAACATGAAGAAGACACGGAATATAGGGGATATAGGACTCGAGACGCGACCGAGAAACACAGAAAAACGATGAAGGGGTGTGAGAGGGGCAAAAAGGGATTATTATGTGAGTGTGTGTATGTGCGTGTGCATGTGGTATGCGTGTGGGTGTTGGTTGTGTGTGTATGTTCTGACTGCATATCTGAATGTCCGTCCAAAGTTCTTCAACAAACGAAGGAGATAATGAGTATAAAAGTAATTGTACGACCGCGGCGTACGAAACAAGCGCATGGAGGAGTAGGACCTAGCCTAGCCTTTACTACGGGCGACAATCATCGCTCCGAGTTGGGAAAGGGTATATAAATGGGTCGTCGCTTGATGGGGAGGAAGGCAAGGACAGGAGTGATGATGGGTATGCACTCGGATCCTAACAGGGGACGTGGGTAATCTGTGACTTAATGAGGGTAAATGTCGAGCACATCGGTTTTGCATATAAAGAACTTGATAATGGATTGTGTCCGGAGCCATGTGATGGTCATGATGGATCCAAAAAGAAACCAGAGAGACAAAAAGTCTAAATGTCCATCACACAAAGAATTGCGTGCTGTGGGAATCGTCAAAAAAAGATTCGCGACGCATGAAAGTCGACTTACTGGATACGACTCGCAGCATGCACTTCCATCTCCTCCATCTTGTATGAATTTAGCTCCTCCTTGATCCTCTGTGCCAACGCGGGTGTTAAACGACTCCATGTAGCAGGTTCGCTCCTCCGATCATAAACAGATGCGGGGAACGTATCGTAAACCGACAAATTGTTGTCAAACACCAGTCTTTTGCTCGGTGCTGTTGCAGATCGGTGCGACAGCATGAGCGGCGGGTTCATGGTAGATAGAACGGGCGCCGACGAGTTGAGATTAGGGAGGTTAAAGATGGCGTTCGACTTTTCAGGTGGATGTGGAGCTTGAGTTGTCGGTGTCGACGGTCGTGATTCGCTTATGGGGGATTCCATCGTGATCCCGGTGTTAAAGGAAAGGGGAGGAAGGGATGGCGGAGGCGCAGATGGTGGCGTGTTATGTGATGAATGAGGGTGCTTGTGGAGGCCGTCAATCTGATCAGGGTCGGGTGAGGGTATATGGGCAAGCGGCCCCAATTCTTGGGTATGGCCTGGATGCGAATTATACGAGTTGGAACGCACACGGTTCTGAGTTGGTGCATCGGTTAGATACTTGTGCTGATCATAAGTTTCAGCATCTACAAATTCGGGTTAGTCATCCAATAGGACGATATATAAAAGTTGTGCACGCACATTTTAAGATACCCTTTGACGGGATGCGCGTCCTTTCAACACTCCTCCGAATATTGATGGCCCACGGCTCGTGATCGTATTCATCATCCTCAATGCTCGTCCCCTCTAGACCGTGACGAATCGTTGCAGCCTCATCGGTCTCACCTTCGATTGTCCAGTCTTCATCGTCCTCTCCCCACCCTTCCACATGAAACTGATTTCCGGCCTGCTGGGGTCCACTGAAATGTCCGTCGTCACTCTCATCATCGTCGTCCTCCACCATCACCCTCGTCCCGTCTTCATTCACTCGCATTCCGCCTCTCTTGACTGGCGATGCCGATCCTTGGCGCGTCGTCGTGTTCTTATCCCAAACCGGCACACCGGCTCCATTGGCGCTGTTGGCTGCTACTGGTGAGGTTGGAGATGACGGGGCATTAGCAGGCGCCACCACCGCCGCCACCTCCTGGGCTGCTTTGGCCTTCGCAGCGGCCTCGGCGTTACTTTTAAGCGTATGTTGTCGAGCAAGCTTTGCCGCCGGACTGAGCCCGTTCATATCCGCACCGACTGTCCAATCACTGCGGTCGAGTTCTGCCGTGACATGCGAAACACTAGCCTCGCTGACCTCCGCCTTGGCCGAGCCGTTCTTGTCCTTCTTTTTCTTGTCCTTGTCCTTGAAGAGCGATGTGATGCCAGCTAAAGAGTTCCGTTTCGCGAGCTTGCCCATGGAGCCAAGTTTCCGAATCATGACACTCGCACTGCTGACAGTCGACGAGAGCGAGATGTTGTCGGTGCTGATGTTCATCTTTGCATTGAACAGAGATGCAGCGCGGCCCTTCTTTTTTGTCGGGCCAGTGGCGTTCGAAGAAGAATCGTCGAGACCATCCGTGGAGCCGCGAGGTGTGGCGGAGCCGGCGGACTTGCCCACTACGGACGAGATGACAACCGGGGTCTTAGCATTGGGCTTCGAAGCCTTGATAGACTCATCATCGGAAGTGCCCTCCTCCTTGAGTGCCTGGGCAGTGTTAAAGGAGAGCGCACGGCGTAGACGGCCCTTGAGGCCGCCACTGCGCGAAATGCCTGCACTGGGAGAAGGATCCAAGACGGGATCAGTGTCATCGCGCGACATCCGACGCTCGTTTGCGGTAAACGTGCCCTGAGAAAGAGGGGAGGGGCGCACTGGACGGGGAGTGGCCAGCAAAGAGGAAGCAGTGGCAGAGGACGTCGTCGTCGTCGAAGCCGGTGGGGGCGGGGAGATGCCCGGCGTGCGAGCAGAGGACGTCGAGGACGTAGACGAGGTTCTATGGTGAGGGACACGCAACTGGCCGGACGAACTCGAGCCTGGGGGAGGCGAGCTGCGATGCGATGGAGAAGCGTTTCGGCCACGGGGGTTGCCCGCAGACTGTGGAGCATTGTGGGCGCTCTGACCACTTTGATTGCTGTTGGTCCTCTGGCGGCTGCTTGTGGAATTGACAGAAGACGAAGAACCCGAGGCATCGGGGCGCTTGTACGGCGGATTTGGAGGTGGCGGCTGAACAGGAATACGCCTATCAGCCACATCGGGCGACTGGGCCTGTGGCTGCCGGCTGGGCCGGCGGTACGGATGGAAGCCGCTGAACTGGGCCTGCTGGGTGGCCTGCTGCTGCTGCTGGTCGGGTGCAGGGCCCCGATGCGCCTGGTGCGGGGGCGGAGTGCCGCTTGGAAACGGACCATAGGCGGGCTGTGCGAAATAATCGTTGGTGCGCTGCTGTTGCGGAAAAGCGTGCTGGGCATTGAAGATCATCTGTTGGTAGGTCCAGTGCGCAAGCTGGGCATTTGCAGGGTCAAAGTAGGGCTGCTGGTACGGCTGCTGGGGGTGGTTCTGGTAGAATGAGGGATAGAAAGGCGCGGCGGTGATGGAAGGGGTCCAGCTGCCTTGTGGCTGCTGATACGGCTGCTGA